ATAAATCAATGAATAAATGATAGATGTCAACTCATTTTACAATTTTGCCTGAGGTCAGGCCTATTATCAGTCAAAAAATTACTGGTTACCACCCTAATTCCTAAGAGGTATACTTTATCTCTGGTGTATAGTCTGAGAAAGTAGGACCAGCCTCTCTGGAAGGAAAAGGACAGGAAAATTAACACTTACTAGACTCTTACTTTGTGCTAGGTACTTATTTATTTCCTTTGATTCTTACTCCTCAGAAGGATCTTTTGATGGTATTGCAAGAACTATTAAGAGAATTATTTCCCTACTAAACATGAAACTGCTTTTATTCTTTGATGACTAAGGATGTCAAGAGTCAAGACAGTACCCTTTCAGCAATTTCCATCATTCCCTGTGATATTAAATAGTAACCCGATATTACTTTCTCATCAGATACTACCTTTAGGCATTCTCTTACTTAGCACTTCTATCTCCAAGTGCTAAGTAAGAGTCTTTACAACTATTTTGACTATGCAAACATTCAATATTCATTGCTTAGTACTCTAGCTACATTTCTTGGGCACAACTTTTTTTCCTTAAGTTTACATTACAGTTGCTTTGTTTTAAAATTTGTTTTCCATGTACTGATTTCAAATTCTTTCCATCCTGCACTAGCCTTTCAAGTGAATTTTCAATACTCAAAATACTGGACAATTCATTACTTCTGCCACCAGACTCCCTTCCTTCTCTGGAGACAGCATTTTTGGAACCATCTATCTGCCTGCTTCAGTCTGGATTAAGTACTCTTTAAGCCTACTGAATGAACTAGTCTGAGGCTTCCTTTATTGTCATAATGGGAAGGAATTTTCTTCATCAGGCTTGTAGTGCTGGATCCCTTGTTTCCTGAATACCATGACTCTTTCCTTACTTAACAATTCTAGTATTAACAGAGCTTATTTTCCAGCAACTTCCTAAAATAGGTAATGTCTGAAAATATCTTGGTTGAAAATCATTTCACTAAGCATTTTAAAGGCACTGATCTTTGTCTTGTAACTTCCAATGTTGAAAAATTCGATACTATTCTCATATTCAATCCTGTAATATGATTTTTAAAATCTCTAAAAAGACTTTTAGAAGCCCATCCTAGTGATCCATAGCTGTAATCCTAGCTACTCTGGAAGCTAAGGTAGGAGAATAATGAGTTTTACGTCCGCCTGGTTAGACAACATAGAGAGATTCCATTTGGAAAAAAAAACTTTTAGTATTTCCCTTTAGTCCTAGTGTTTTGATATTTCATAAAATTGAACCTTCTTGAGACTAAAGCTTTGCTTGATTCTCCAATGAATAGGCTTTCAGAGGAATGTTTTAATCCAGAGATTCATCCTCATTTGGGAAAAAATTTTGGTACACTATTCTACCTAATTAATCTAAGATCATGATTATGAAAGAAAAAATACTGTCAAAATGTATCACACCACAGACAATAACAAGCACCTGATATTAAAATATGGGAAAGTGTGTATCTTATGGCATTTCTTTCCTACTTTTTTCCCCTCCATTTCTCTTGTTGTCTAAATAAGGGTGAGACACTGTGCACCAATAGTTTCAGCTACTCAGGAGGCTGATGCAGGATTGGTTGAGCTGAGGAGTTCAAGGCCAGCCTGGGTAACATAACACCTCATGGCTACAAAAGAAAGGGTGGGGGAAGGACAATAAAGAGTAATAGAGGGGATGAACATGATCAAAGTACATTATATGCATGTATGGAAACATCACAATAAAACCCCTTTGTACAATTAATATATGCTAATTAAAAAAAGAGTGAGGCACTAAGAAGTGGCTTGGAGTTTTGGGGACTGGTCAACTTGAAAGCTTTCTTGTAGTTAACTGGCCAAGGAGGCAACCTTTACAACTTTCTTCAGATAAGGACATCCCACTCTCCTGCCTGGAGGATATGGTCGTGGTCAGTGCAATGTGGTCACATCACAATTCAGGAGTGGGTTTTCACTGGATCTCCTTGTTTCCAGCCTAGTGCCTGAGGTTCCCAAGTCTGAAGCCTGTCTGGTTTTCTCTATGAAATACCTTTTATCTCCAGAGGAGGATGTGGAAGCTCTTTATATGCAAAGGCCTTATTATACATGGCCTGGTAGGTCACATTGCAAGATTTAGACTTAAATTGGAAGCAAAAAATTATGGAAAGTTTTTAAGCAGATGAGTAAAAGGAACTCACTCTGTGTCATAATGTTCACAACAATTTGTCTGATTTCTAAAAACGTAACTTTCCCAACATGTTAAAAAGCATACAGAAACACGTAACGCTATACACACACACAAAGACATACGAGCAATAACCACATGGAAGACCGAGTAGAAAATCCCATTTACAATATAACAAAGACTACAGAATATCCAGACTATCTTTGGTGGTACTAGGGTTTGAACTCAAGGTTCTACCACTTGAGCCATGCCTCCAGCTCCATAAACTATCTTAATAAGAAATGTATAACTATATGTAAGAAGCCACAAAATTTTGATGAAAGATATACAAGAATATCAGAATAAAGGAATGTTCTTGGATGTGAAGACTTGATATTACTGAAGTATTTTTTCATATTAATCTGTAAATTTAGTGCTATTCTAATAAAAAAAAAATCCCAATACATTTTTCCAGGGAGTACTTGACAAATTGATTATAAAATTTATCTGGAAAATTAAATGCATAAAACTACAATTCTGAAAAGAAAAAAAGTGGGAGGGATGGCTTTCACATATGAAAATATGATAAAACCAAAGTAACTGGAAAGTATGTAAAATTAAAATATTCAAGGGGAGTGTATGTTAAACTGTGTCCATCAAACAGATATGTTCAAGTCCAAACCCCTACTACCTGTGAATGTGACCTTATTTTAAAGTAGAATCTTTGCAGATGTAATGAAGAATAGAATGGGCCCTAATCCAATGACTGTCCTTATCAGAGGGAAATTTGGATACAGAGACACAGACAACAAGAACACCAAATAAGGATCAAGGCAGAGATTACAGTGATATGTGTATAACCACCAGAAGCTGAAATAGGCAAGGAAGGATCTTCCTCTAGAGCTATCAGAGAGAGCACAGTCCTGTCGAAGCCTTGAATTTAGACTTTGTAGCTTCCAAAACTGTGAGAGAAAAATTTCCATTGTTTTAAGCCTCCTACTTTATGGTAATTTGTTATGACAGCCCTAGGAAACTTATGTAGGAGACAGAAGACAATTTAAAATATGATAAAAGAAGTATCTCATAGGAGTGAAAAAAGAATGGATTTTATTTGTACAATATATAGGAGTTAGGACAACAAGTTATCTATTTGGAAAAAAGTCAGATTTCTACTAAAATTCCAAGTAGATCACAGATCTAAATGCAAAAACAAAACAAACCACCAACAAAACAAAATCCCCCTAAAGTAGCAGGTGAATAATGTAAGAGGATCTTTTCATAACAGGGAAGGATATTCTAACCAAAATATGCAACCCAGAAGCCAGATGTGAGCATTTAAAATGAAAACTTCTGCATAAATATGTAATGCAAGATATAAAATCAATGTCTTAAAAATGGGATAAAATATTTCCAAGATAAAGAGACATGAAGTTATTATCCAGAATATATTCAGAAATTGTACAGATCAATAAGGAAACAAGAAGTAACTAAAAATTGAGCAATACATAAAATAAAAAGGCCAATAATATGTGGATACTTAACTTTACTACTAATCAAATGACATGTAAATTAAAATGACAAAGTATTATTTGTTTACAGTGGTTCAAATAAAAACATGTTCTCTGATAATATCCAGTGTTGAATAGGGAATGGTCAAACAGATACTCTCATAAGCTGAAATTTTTATAATCTCTTTGGAGGGCAATTTGGTAACTGCCCTTTTTTCCAAGTTCATATTGCAAGTTTATATTCTACTAGAACATAAGTTCACAAAAATAGGGGAAAATTACATTAAATGTAAGATATGCCTAAAATAGAATACTGTGTAACCATTTAAAAAAGTTAGATCTATACAAATTGTTAAAGAAAAGATGCTCACATTAGTGAAAGTAACGAAAGACTATACTTTCAGGGATCATTTCTATAGTTCGTGAGAGTAACGAGTTGTAGAACATATGTAGTTTGTAAACATAAATAATTGTCATGTATACATATAGAATAACAAAATTATAACTGAGCTGCTGACGATGGCTATCCTGGGAGAACTGAAAAAATTTACTAATTTATTTATGTAATATTTGATGAGCATCTATGGTATACCAGGTTCTAGGCACTGGGGATTCAGGAGTGAACAAAAAACAGATTAGGAAATGGTTAATGTCCCCTTTCTATGTTAAATATTTCTGGAAAGTATGACCTTTAAATATATACATGTATGTGTGTGCACGCACACACACACACACACACAATTTTTTGAGACAGGGTATAGGCATGTGCCACCATGACTAGCTGTGTCATTCTTTTAAAGTCAATCTTAGCAAACAGTTTTCAGAAAGGTCACAGGATATTTAAGAATACATTTTGGTAAAATTAATGTGAAAGAATTAACAAGTTTTTTTTTTGATGTTACTGGAGTTTGAACTCAGGGCTTCACACTTGCTAGGTAGATGCTCTACCACTTAAGCCCTACCTCCAGCCATTTTTGCTTTAGTTATTTTTTGGATAGTGTCCCATACTTTTTGATCTGGGGCCGGCCTTGGGCCATGATCTCCCCTACCTATGCCTCTCTCATAGCTGGAATAACAAACATGAACCACCATTCCTAGCTTGTTTGTTGAGATGTGGGTCATGCTAACCTTTTTTTTTGCCTGGGCTAGCTTCGAACTGCAATGATCCTGAGCTCTGCCTTCCTCATAGCTAGGATTACAGGTGTGAACCACCATGTATGGCAACAAGTTTCTAATATTATAAAATCACTACTTTGCTTGATTTAAAAATAGGGTAATTTAATGGTATCTGATTTGTCTCCATCCTCTGTGATACAGTATTTTACTTACAGTTTGTGGATTAATCTCCTCCTCTCCCATAGGTTCATCCATAATTTGCTGTCCATTCTGTGAAAAGCACAGCAAGTAGAAAGTTACCAAAACAGCTTTCATATTAAAAATTACATGAAGGCAGACAAAAAAGTCATTCAGGAATATTTTCACCCTTAAAGGGCTCTAGAGAAGTATAACCACCATCTAAGAATACAGTTGCGTATTTGCAACAGGTTGTGCTTCAAAAGTTCATATGCAAGTTCATTATTTGAAACTACTAAAACACTTTTCCAGGGAAATAATAAATGATTATCTTTCCAGGTGAGCTCAAGTTTATTTTAATAGTTAAATGCATTACAAATGGTTTTAGTTAAGCCTCACCAAGCAACTCCATTAATAATTAATCGGGGGGGGAACTGATTAATTATTTCAAGGAAAATTAAGCTTAATCACTATGTCAAAATAAATTCCAGATGGAATAAACATTTAGATGTCAAAATAAAATTATATAAATATTAGAATATTAGTGACTAATAATCATGAAGGAGGGTAAAATCATAGACAATAAATGACATTTGAATCCATAAAAGTTTAAAACTTCTTCTGCCAGACATAAAAAATATAAAAGACAAACTGATTACAAAAAAAAATAAAGCAACATATGACAAAGGGTTGGTATCCTTGATACATATAGAGCTTTGTTTTACAAACCTGTAAGAAAAAACGATGAACCTCAACAGAAATGAGCAATAAGGGAAAAAAGAGTTCAGCCTTAGTACCAATCACAGAAATGCATTTAACCTAAAGATACCTTTTGCCTTTCAAGTTGATAATGGTTTACAAAAATAAAGTAATTGTTAACATTAAGTGATAACATGGGCATGGGGAAAAAAGAGCACCCTAGATTTACTGCTGGAGAAAGTACAAATCAGCACAACCTTTCAGGAAGACAACCTGAGTCTGTATTTCCAACCCCCTCCCCCCAAAAAAACCCCCACCACAACACATAAAATTTTGAAATGTCCCATCAATTCTACTTCTGTTTTTAAAATGGACAAGCATACAAAGATGTATATACAAGAATGCTCACCATAATTTTTTCCCAAAAGAACTCCAAATCGGAAACCTAAATTCCTAACAATAGAGAACTAGTTAAATATATTATGGTACATCCATATGATGGAATACTATGTGGTCATTAAAAATGATGATAAAGATGTAAATTTATTGACATGGAAAGACAGTTACGTGTAGTAAGTGAAAAAGCAGTTTACAAAACAATGTGAATTGTAATGATCCCATTTTAAACAAATATATACATGTATTAATGTATATATTTGTATGGGAAAAACTTTGGAAGGATATACAGCAAAATGTTAACAGCAGCTCTCTATGAGTGGTAGAATTTTACACAACTTAAATTTTGTCTTTTTTTGCTTATTGCTTATTTGAATTTTATGATGTGTCTATAATATTTACAATCCATTTATATAACTAAAAAATGTCAGGCATGGCAGTGCACACCTGTAATTGTAGCAGATGGAAAGCTGAGACAAAAGGACTGCATGTTCAAGGCCATCCTGGGCTACACAGCAAGGCCCTATCTCAAAAAACACAAAAACAAAAACATAGGAACACATAGGGTCTTCTCTCATTCCCTCATTGTAAAAAATGAGTATCCCTCTAATAACTTGTTATTGCAACAAGTATACAAGGATCCAAGCTAACCATCTTTGGAACATTATAAACTGGAAGTAGAAGGCAGCCCCTTCATCACCACATTAAGCAAATAAAACATGGTCCTTTTATCTTTGCAGGTCTACTGAACGATAACAATGGACACCTTCCATTTTCACCCACTCATAGAAGATGTTCCTAGGTTAGGGACTGTCTATACAATACCACAAAGCACAGAAATGGTGCCAAATGCAGGATATGGGGGGGGGCAGGTTAAATCTTTATTTTCCTAAGACACTTTCAGGGGCTACAATATTGCCCACTCTATGGTAAGGACATCCAAACTACCTTTCTCCTAAAAGCTACAACCATTTATTCAACTGACTACTGATTGTTTTTATCCAAACACCCCAAAGATACCTTAAAGTAGCTCTTAGAAACACTGACTTTGCAGTCAAACAGATAGATTTTTTTTTTTACCTTTATATTTCTTTGTTACTTGTTGAAAATAACTCATAAGACCTTTTAACTTAAAGCCTTATATTTGCATAAAAAACAGAAAGCAAGCAACCTTAAAACTATTTTTTTGTATAAAAAAATTTATAGAAAGCCCAGTTGTTGATAGACCCATGTATTATAAGAGAAGATTAAATCCCAGATTTTATTTACAACAGAATGAAACAGTCTAAGGTCATTTCTTTACCCAAATTCTAAGATTTCTGCTGCAGGCTTGTGGCCAGGGTTTTAAATGGCCTTCCTTCCTTCCTTCCTTCCTTCCTTCCTTCCTTCCTTCCTTCCTTCCTTCCTTCCTTCCTTCCTTTCTCTTCCTTCCTTCCTTCCTTTCTCTTCCTTCCTTCCTTCCTTCCTTCCTTTCTCTTCCTTCCTTCCTTCCTTTCTCTTCCTTCCTTCCTTCCTTCCTTTCTCTTCCTTCCTTCCTTCCTTCCTTCCTTAAAATCCTGTTCTTACACTACGAATTATGGAGACTCAGGTTGTTTAAACTACATTTTTAGTTTCTTTATATGGAGACTAAAGATTTAAAAAGTCTTATTTTCAGAGGGTTGTTGTGAAGACAAAATAAGATAAATGATATAAAACCCTAAGTGCAATACTTGACACTTAGTAAATGATCGATATTAATTATTTTTATGTCCAAAATTCAATCACTTCACCTGTGGCCCAACCTGCTACCTCTCCTGTATTTTCTATCTTAGTGAATGGCACCATCATTCATCTACTAGTTTAAATTAGATTTTCTCCTTAATTACATGCAGTTATACACACAGATCTGCTTAGTGGCTCAACATTATATGGTTTTCAGAAGTGCCAGTCTGACTTGAGCTACATGTACATTTTCCATGGGAATTGAAATTGAGGACTAGCTGCTCCTTGCAATTTTCAATGTATGTAAAACAAGCATCACAATTTATAATTTACTTTTAAAGCAAACTGGTACGGAAGAAATAGCACTGAACTTGGAACTGGTAGACCAGAGATGGAGCCATAGGCCTGCCACTTAGCTTTATAATTTGGGGCAATTCAGACTTTCTCTTAGCCTAATGCTCTACATGTTCTAAGTGGGGATATTTTCCCTGTTTAGTCAAACAGCTGTTATTTGGCTTAAGACTGGGATAACGCATAAGAAAGCATTTTAGAAACTGTAAAGAGCTGTAACAATGCAAATTACTATTATTAAGATGATATTCTATAAAGTTCTTTTGTTCTTAGAATTAGAAAAAAAAATTAGGATCAGTAGGGGATCTCAAAAGTCTTCTGTTCCAACTACACATCATGTGTTTCAATTTTTCTACCCTGTCCTTACCTATACTAGAATACCATCAGGACAACAGTTTGGACTCACTAGTCCTAGCCTACTAGTATTACAGAAAAAGCACTGCTGCTAGATAAAATTCTTCATTACATAGTAACTTTCCTCAGCCACAAATTCCCTTTGAGAGGATTACTAATAAATGAAAACTAACTTGCCTGTTAGCTATCTACAAAGTCATAGAAAGTAAATCTACATCTATAACTTTAAATCACCCTGAGTCTCATCTTTTTTAGATAACTCAAATTTCTTCAAATGTTTAAGACAGATGAGTCTCATCAATCTTTTTTCTGAGCACACTCTGATTCATCTTAAAGAGTGGTATATGGAATTGCAGGCAATTAAACATTCCAACCCTTGTATGACCAGTACAAAGTAAAGGGCATTTCATTTCCCTTGTCCTAAATAATAAACTTATATCAATGCATTATTTTGGTATGCCCACAATACACTGTTGACTCTAAAATTTTCTGTTGATTTCATCCTTGTCTTCTGTACTTACACTACAACTAAGCCCTGCATTCTCTATCTTGTAGCTGCTGTTAATCTTAGTCCCATGAATAAAGTCTTATTACAAATTTTTGACTCATCTTTTCCCAGCTCTGATCCATTGCTAGTGTCTATAGATTGGATGTTGGCATCTGTCAGTCTGTTCTCTATTTTCAGCTTCATGCCATCCACAAATTTTACAGTATTTGTTTTCTTTTCTGATCTATTCAGCTAATAGCTTACATAAATAAAGTAATATAAGAAAGAGATTAAATAAAACATGATCTCAAAGGTATTTTATTCTCTATTGTTTAAAAAATTTCTACTTCCTGTGTTTAGCAAAGATTTAAAATCTTGAACTTAATTTGTAAAGTAGGAAAATATGAAATCCAATGTTATACTACGTACCAGAGAAACTTAAAAACTTTTCTTGTCAAAAAGGACCTTTATTTCAATGTGAACCTTTTTTATTATTTCACCAAAACAAGGAATCAAAAGTTATCTATTAGGAATGAATGAGCATAAAGTTATTTCTACAGTTAAGAAGTTTAAATTTTCCTTTTGAGAATGACCCCTGGTTTTTTCACTAGAGATCAGGTTAAAAGGATCAGCAGTTTGACTCTGTATGTACTTTCTATGGTTCATGAAGTTCAAGGAATAGTACCTATTAAACTAGAAAATCTATTTCTCTAATTTTAAGGAAAAAACAGAAAAAAAAAACCCATGTATTCTGAAGCTGGCCAGTACTAGGTTTAAACTCCAGCTTTGTCACTTACTGGTAAAGTTATCTGAATTTGGGTAAGTTATTTAACATTTTAAGCCTCAGGTTCTCCATTCATAACGTGTAAAATTATTATCTTACAGAAATGTTGTAATTAGAAGTATCTACAAGGGACAGTAAATGCTCCTCTTTTGCTTCAATTGACTGTGTAATGTTTACATTTTTATAGATAAATTCTAAAGATGTAATGCAACAAAGAAGTATTAGAAAGATGTCCGTTTTATCTTACTGCAGTCAGTTTCCTGCCAAGCAGGGTAAAAGAATTCAATCATATGTGTTCTACATTTCTATACAATTTGGCTA